ACACACACACACACACGAGGTACAAGTCCGATCGTGCAACCTCCTCGTGATGTACCTTGGGTTATGCTAATGCCGGCGGCACATTTGACATTTTCAAAAAACGTTCGAAATACAAAAATGGCGAAAAAAAATCGTAGATCAATGTTCGACATTTCATTTTAAAGAGTAGACTTCAGTCTTCAAATTCATGCTACTGTGAGCCGCGAAATAAATTTTGGCAACTCTGAAGAGTCGTTTGGTTTTTCCAAAATTTTCGAAATTTAAATCTTTCAAATTTCCACTCGCTTCCTAGTGTAAAAGTATCTTCGAGGAAAATCAACTTAGGCATGCGAAAGTAGAGGCTTCGCCCTTTAAAATGAGCCCAGAAACATTGTCGTACAATTTTGTTTCTCGAAGTTATAGCACTTTAAAAATCGACAATTTTTCGGCAATATTTTAGTGATCCTTTAATTTTGCTGTTGAGTGCATTTTATAACGGATATTCAATATTAAAACGGATTTCTCATATGTCCGTTTGATTTAGGCATGACTGGTGGAATTCTTAATATGACACTTTATTGATTATATAAAATCCTTTATATAAGTAGGACCGTAATGGTTATACTGTTAAGACAGACATTATAACGGATATTGTAACGGATTTGGTCATATATATTTAAAGCGGACAAGAGTTACCATAGCAACTGATTTTCTTTTGTCAATCAATCTGTTAGATACTCTGTGATGCAAACTTTGGGTTCCGAGCACCATGAAAGTGTTACACTCGGTGCTCACTCACACAAGCGCAACCGTGTCCGTGTGCTGCGCAGAGACTCTGCGCAGCACACGGACACGGTTGCGCTTGTGTGAGTGAGCACCGAGTGTAACACTTTCATGGTGCTCGGAACCCAAAGTTTGCATCACGTTAGAGTATCTCAGTCGCTTAGGTTAGAGTATCTCAGTCGCTTAGGTTACTCGGCGGTTTTCATCTCGATTACACAGTTTAAGCTTAATATTTTTGTCGCTAATTGTTGCGGAGCAATATGGGAGTGGATCGACGCGGTAACTATCGCGGTAAATGTACCGCATGTGACTGCGATGAATTTGAATTACCTCCCGTGGATGACACAAACATGTGTTTATTTTGCGGGCATCATTCGCCTTTACACGAACGTGTGAATGAAACTTGTATTCGTGAAGGTAAGTTCTATTACAGGTTATATATTATATATTATACGATTATATATTATCATCTCCTTAATGCATACTGCAATACTGACGATAGAAAATTTGATGGGCAATGAAGATTCTCGACAGACTGTTCCATTGACTGTGCAATGTGCCAGCAATACAGTATCAGAGGGCAATGGTACTGTATCATATGAAGAAAATACTTCGGACGTGCAATCTGCCAGCAATCCAATAGAGCAACAGGACAATCCAACTACAGCTCAGGAAAATAATTCGGAAGTAAGAATTTATGAGTGTTTGCTGTGTGGATTAATTTATAACAAGAAAGCGCGTTTAATACACCACATAAATGTAGTACACACACATAGATCAAAACACACCATAATTTGTTATTGCCGTAAATGTAATTTATATTTTTCAGTATTAACAGAATTTAAGTCACATAAATATGTTGCCTTACCACTTGCATATGATATACCAGTAGAATTACAACAAAATGAAACTAATACCGACATTGACAATGTAAATGTAATGTCAGATTTGCATGAAAAAGAACTCAACCTAGCCGATAGAATTTTAGATTTCTGTGTACTTCTAGAGGCAAAGCATAAAGTTCCTAAAGTAGCAATAAACGCAATGGTAAATTTTCTTGGCTGTATTGGTCATGAAAATGATATTTCTTTGTCAGTTACAGATAGATTACGTAAACGGCAATTGTCAAAAAATGGTGTGTATCTAAATCCAAAACAAATACATCTTCCTGATGGCACTAGTGGATATGTAATATCAGTTATTGATATAATTCGGAATTTAGCAAAATTCAATGAAAATTTGTCTTTCTTCAGAAAGAATGCTCCATTATCAGATAATCGCATAACTGATGTAATGCAGGGTCAAAGGTACAGGAATCATCCTGGACAGGTAGCGCATGAAAAAAATAATATTGCTTTGTTATTATACAACGATGATATTGAATTATGTAATCCAATCGGCATGCATAGAGGTCTGAACAAAATATGTTTATTTTACGTGACAGTACTGAATATTCCTGTCCAATTGCGGTCACGTTTAGCAGCCACATTTTGTATAGCTGTGTGTTCAAGTAAATCCATGAAATCTTTTAAAGCCCATGAAATTCTTCTTAACGATTTCATTTCTGAATTAAAAATACTTGCTAGTACAGGAATTACAATTCCTTCTGATTCATATGGAGAAAAATTTTATGGCTATTTATTTGCATATCATGGCGATGCATTAGCAGTACATCAGTTATGTGGTTTTAAGGAATGTTTTTCTCCTCTCGTTAAGCAACAATGTCGAATGTGTACTGCGTCAAGCGAATTATTTCCTACATTATCATATCATTATCAGTGTCCTGTGCGAGATGAAGTGCAATATTATAAAATTGTCGATGAAATGAAAAAAACGAGGAGGGACAAGACCTTGTATTCGAAGAAGTCTCGAGATAATGGAATTAAGCGAGATAACATTTTTCGAGAGATTCCTTTCTTTAATATATTCAAAGACGTTTTGTATGATCCTATGCACATATTATTAGAAGGTATTGTTCCTAAAGAAATAAGCCTGCTCCTAAAAGCTGTTGTTTCGCAACGTCTCATCAAGCGTGATCACCTGAATTCTCTGATTAGTAATTTTAAATTCCACAAAAGCATTCCAAGTGGTGAAAAGCCTCGCCTTATTCCTCAAGATTTTTCTATATCAGGGACCAGTAAAGCAAACTTTACACTAATGTATCATTTGCCGATTCTTTTGCATCGTGACATTCCTACTGATAATCAGCACTGGCAGTGTTTTCTTTTGCTAATCGCAATTGTTAAATTGATATGGTCACCTATATTAACAGTTGAATCTTTAGCTGCGATAGAAGTTCATGAACATCAAAATCTGTATGTGAAATTGTACCCAGGTCATTTCTCTCCTAAGTTGCACATGGGTCATTCCATATCAGATTTACAATCAAAATTTTGATTCGCCTGAAAATTTTTTTCTCGTTCTAGAAAGGAAAAAAAATGACACGTATTTTTTTTTAAATATGATATGTAAATTTTCCAAGTTATTGATTTTTTAATTTTTAAAGTGCAAAAAATTTTTTTTTCAATAATGCTTCTACTATTCAACGAAGAGTATAGAATACATCATTAAAATATGCCATGGGATCTACTATTAAGTCCATGCTTTGATGAAAACTCAGAAACGGTATTTAGTACTTTCTATGCAACAATTAATTAAACAAATGGAATTATCTCAAAAGGGACCTCTTTGAATTGAATCATTTTTTGTGTAATTTGTTCGTTAAGTACACAGAACTCTGTATCAAAATTTGGGAGTGGACCGTTGAATACTTTT